CTAACGTTAAAGTGAGTAATTTCTCCTGTGTTTAAAAGTACATATTTGTTGTTAAGTGACAGGTCATCGATTCTGCGATGGTTATTTATTCTAGTACAGCTTCATGTGGTACTGTGAGCATTGAAGTCACTTAAAATAAGAAGTACGACCTCAAGATGCAAGAAATGCTACTTCGAAGTGCATCCTCACAGCACGTGGATTAGCCTTCACGCGAAACAAAACACGATCAAACAGAACATCAGTAAATGGTCACCAAACGTCAGCTACCCTCGACGAGAACAAGAGTGCACAGCCAGACTATGAATAGGCCATGCAGGAATAACTTCTTCATACATGCTAAGGAATGAAGAACAGCCCACCTACAGCTGCGGAAGTCTTCTGACAGTGAAACATATTCTGACAGATTGTGTAGATCTCTGAAGACTTAAAGTCAGATGCGGCATGAGAAACAACATGAAGGAATATTTCAAAACCGACAAGACTGCAACTGACAAAACAATGAATTTGCTGAAAGAGGCCAATATTTTCTATAAAATTTAAATAGTATAGGATTAATTTTAACAGCAATCAGTAAAAAACTAAAAGCCTCAGTTCCCAAACCTTCAAACAATAATTCTAATAATAATAATAATAATAATAATAATAATAATAATAATAATAATACAGTTTGTTTTATTCTTTGCCGATACTCATCAGCGGGAGTCCTTATATAAGGGCCTTATTACTTCCAGGAAGCGGAGCGCATCCCCGGGTGCACCATTCCAGCTAAGCCCTTGATCCTAGGCTGAAGAACGGTTACGAAAGAAGACGAACGAATTCGTAATTTATTATTATGTTTTAATGCTCTCTATCAGAGAACAATTAATTACCAAGTTCATTTTATACTTTTGAAATCAATGTAGTCTTGATTATACCTATCAATCGCCGGGTTCGAAATCAACTATACATCCTCAATCGACCCATTGGTCATTAACATTGGTCGCTTTGTAAGTTTAATTGACCGACCCCTAGGGGATTTATTTATTTATTTATTTATTTATTTATTTATTTATTTATTTATTTATTTATTTATTTATTCACGTCAAAAATAGTTCAAAACAGTGTGACGTGCTATGGGAAGAAGTTAATTTGAAGTTACATTTATGTCCAGTTGATAGCGACCCCGTTGAGAACCCCTGTTTTAGACGCCAGGGTTGACCGCAGACGGGAGAACAGATGGACGGACAGACAGACGTTTGACTGTCAATCGATTTTTCGATATCGAAGATCCACAAAACATGGATTCTGACTACACAATGTGTTAGATTAAGTAAATTACTAAGTAGAACAACAGGATTTATGCACCATTTCATTACCAGCGCCCAGCAATAAGAGTTCTGTCGAAAGTTCACCGATTTCCGGCGCACGATTATAATACTTTCTCTTCTTACGAAATAAGGGTAAGAAAGTAACAAATCTGTCTTCAATATTGAAGTTGTAGGAAGACACAGAAAAAAATTGAACTTTTGTGATTTTCGAAAAATCAGGTATTTCAACGAAAACGAGACCTGAACCACTCTTTAAACGTCATTTACGCTAAACAAAGACAATGTTTAATAGACAAATGTTCTATTTTTGAGAAAATTTTCAAAATTATTTTCACCCTTCATGTAAAGTACCTTCAAATTAACAGTTTCAAACTCGCAGGGTCCCGAGTTCGTTCAGATCGGTCATAGAATTTCATTTTGGACATAGGCCAGACTTTGTCGAAGACGCATAACCTTTTTTATTGTTTTATGATATTTTAATTGAAACTGCTGTAAGTAGCAGTATTATTCAGGAAAGAAAGTTTTATGTACGTGTCCAAAAAGTACCGGAGGGACACATGAGTCCCACCTACGGAAATAAATGGGACTCATGAGTTCCACCAAAGAATACGGATGGGACACGCGTCCCAGATGACCCAGAATCGCATCGAACCAGGTACTGTTGTAGTTGCAGCAACCAACTAAAGAGATTCTACTGAGGCAGAATATATAAAAAACTAAAAATTAAAATTGGTAGTGAAAGGGTTAAATTGTTTCAAAATTGACCATTTAAACGCAGAATTACGCAAAACTACCCATATTTATGAAAAATTAAACATGACCTTATTTGAAGTTCTGTTTTTGATGAACATATTTCATTAAGGTAGTTGCAAGAACACGCCGAAAAAAAAATTTGATCTTTTGCCACTTCAAAAATTTGTGTGAACAAAACAAACCTATTCCATTTTTTGATGCAAAATGCGACCTACTCCATCAAAGGAACAAAATAAAGAAAAAAAAGTGGAACCGTTTTTTGAGAAAATTATGAAATTTTTTTTAAGGCTTCATGTAATGTCCCTCAAAAAATCAAAATATACGTCCCTTCAAAAGACTGCGACATCATTTAGATCCATTCCGGAATATCAATTTTGATGAGTAACCTACCGCCAGCGTTGTTCCGCTAGGGTTGTTCGCTGACAGACGAATAAAGATTTTTCTGTCAATTACTTTTTCGGTACCAAGGACCCACGAAACGTGGATTCTGGCTTTCCAACGTGTTAGAGGAAGTAATTTACTATATATAGGAATAGGGCTTATCCACTTTTTCGTTACCAAGACCGGGCAATAAGAGTTTTCCTATCGAAAAATTGCCGATCACCCCCCCCCCCCCCCCCCCNNNNCCCCCGCCCTTATCACAATAATTTCTCTGTATTGCGTAAGCAGTATGTGAAAAAGTAATACTTCAATCAAAAATTTGGAGCATCTGCCAATATTCATATAGAATTTGCTGTCTTGAGATATTAGCTGAGTTTATGAAGTTTCTTTGATAGCTCAAAGAGCAAGGAAGAAAACAAAATAAGAAAAAAAAATAGAAATACAACTGATGTGTGTATTCCTTTCTCAGTAATTACATCAATTGAGGTATTTGAAATGGAGAAAATGTGGATACCTCCTTCACTAGAGGGAAAAAGGAGAAAATGGCGATATCAGCGACCTTTAATATATAGAATAATGTTTGTGCTTCAGTATCAAATTTATCTAGTGTGACTGACAGGCCATTGTAAAACAGTAGTAATTCTAGTTAGTGTAACTGATTACGTAAATGAGTGGAAGTTAATGGATATTAAAAGTTATTATAAATACATTTTAAGAAATAACTTACCAAAGACTGATATTATGCTACAAGATTTTTTTTAATGGAACGATTAGATGAATACGTAGGTTTAATAAAGCGATTTGTTTATAAAGAAGCAAAGAAAAATATTATTACAGTTTTATTGGATCAGTGTGAGCGGGTTTGTTTTCAAATTACGCTAGAAAAACCACATTGTAATAAGGCTGGCAGTTCTGTTTCAAAATGAAGTTGAAATTTGAATTAATGTACCTACAAGAGTGGTAGACAAAATTTGAAAAGTAGACATTGAGGCTCCCGAGGAATAGAAAACGCATTTATACTGGCAAACGAACTACAGATCTTATTTTATAATATTACTGACAAAATACCTTCCCCCCTCGCTCATGCTCTTACACGACTAGCAAAAAAGAGAGATCAACAATTGAGTGCGTATTGAAGATTAACATTTACAATCCAGAAAGAATGCAAGGGGTCGTGTTAGCATTTACTTAATTGATTAAGATCCATTTGATTAACTGTTTTCCAGTGCCAGTGTTCGACATAGGTGGACCGGGACAAGTCAAGGGGCCCAATGTTGGGACGGATGTGAAAAAGAAAAAAAAAATGAAAAAGAAATTAGAACTGGAGAAAATCGTTACCTTAATTTTATAAGTCGCTATACAGAAGTCTGATGTTTCATACAATTTTCAATTAAATTTTTACTTTATATAACGTAGACTTCTACATTTTAATTTTTTTGAGGTGGGGGCTGCGTTTCAGCATTGCCCCGGGCTCAAAATTGTCTAGCTCCAGCACTGCTGTTTTCCTGTCGATGAAAAACTACATGTATCGACAAGTAAAAATATGAGCGTTCATACTAATTTTGCAAATGACATAATCAGCTGATTTGAGTTGATCTCCGCATTGCTATTTTTAGCATTATCTGTGTTGCATTATATTTTAAATCGAATACATTAACTCATTTTACCGGCACAGCGACTGCGGTTTTGACGAAACCAGTTTTCTTAATTCCCTGTCATATCTTTTGCTTGTGACCATACATATGTCTGCCCTACACGTCTGCCAGCTATACAACTCGGCCCTCGCCATTGGCCTCCCCCACCCCGTTCCGTCATTCGTTTGCCTACTCGCACGCAGAACGTCCGCTCGGACGCAGGGACAGCCCATTATCTCGTTGTCGCCCCCGTTCCATCCTGCACCGTCTTCATCTTTCATTTCGACAGCACGTCGGAGCATCGTGATAAATGACACCGCGATGGAAACCCTATGCACGAGGAGCGTTTAAAAAAATTGTTTGCCTATCCTTATGTAGTGGTTGCTCATGCACATCTAAATGCTGGGCGAATGTTGATTGGTAAAGTCAAAAATCATCCTGCAGCGAGGAGACAATCTGTCGACAACTAGTGGAGCGATTCATTTCCTCCGATTACCGTTGTAGGTCAAACCTATTGCCTGCAGGTCACGTGCTTAGGCCTTTGTTGGACCGATGTTGATTGATATTGGCGCGTCGACTCGTCTCCCTTGGCTTCTTTGCTCTTACGTCCAGTCCACGCCTGTCCTATTTCTTGCCCCCACTTCTTGCCTCCACTCCGCTTAATATCTTTCTCACCCTACAACTTAACTGCAAATCAATCCTCCACTTTGCCCCCCCCCCCCATTCGTATTTGTTTAATCGTGCAAGCAAACAAAATGTTTATTGTAAAAGTTTTACTTTGTTAATTAGGCCCTTATTATGTGAGCATTTGCAAATTAAATTAATTTATTTTAGAACCGTTATGTTGGTTCCATAACTGAAGTTTGTGTCGAAATAGTTGGTTGCACTGCGTAGCAGTATATAGCCAACCCAGAAATTAAAAGAAAACTTGAATATAAATTGTTAGTGGCCGTATTTGCTACCTTAGTCAGTAAATACAAAGATTTTTGATGATACATTCTTCTGAGTAATATTTATTTTAAATATATTGAAATGAAAATCGATCCGTATTAGTGAATTCGGAACATTCATGTTGGCAAACTTGTTTGTTTACTTCTTACGTGTGAACGTTTCGAATATTTGATCCAGTTTGCAACGGTGCATGTGTTAATTCATTTGTAGTATTTTTTAACAGTAAATAGCTTGTGCATAATAGTAAATCATTTTTCGCTTTATATAATTCAAGGTACGAAATTTAGAGGTAATTTGTGCCATTTGTTTTGTACTTTAAAGAGTGTTTACCAAATGCAAGTGTATTTGTACTTTGAAACATTCTTCTTTGGAAAAAATATTATCATTTTTTATCTTTAAGCAGTTTATTTCCAGCAAATATGGGTAGTGATGTTAGTAAAGAAATAAATGATATTGTGGATGTGCTCGAAGTAAACAACAAATCATGCTTGACGCCAAGTAACATTACTCGATGTGCACAAATTGACCCACGTTCTCCATCAGAAGGAATAATGAGAACTCCAATTGAGGTAAAATATTGACAAAATTTGTTGTGTGCGTTGTATGACATGGTGTGATGTTTTAATGTAACTTTTTAGGTTAGGAAACATATTGAGCAATCTGAAGAAATGTGTTTGAGAAGGCGATGGAAATCAGAACCCGAGTTAACGCCTTTGAAAATGGATCATACTGACAATGTTGTGCTGTGTGATCCGCGTTCTCCTACCTTAGGAATAACTAGGACCCCTATTCAGGTATAATTCTATACTTCGTTCTTTTGCCCCATTTATATTTTTTATTCATAACGTAAGCTTTTCTTTGTTATAGGTCCCTATTGGTGAAAAAGTATCTTATGACAAAACTCTGCATGGAAATATGTTACAAAATGTAAATGCAATTGTTCATGTACCCGACTGTCGATCACCGAGTTTAGGTATTTGCAGAACCCCCATTGAAGTATGTATTCATTATAGTGTTCATGCTTAAGAAAAGTAACATAAAAATAATTGCCATTTTACCAAAAAAATGCCAAAAAGAATTTTTAACATGAGGGAAGCAGTTTGATTCTCTCTAAAATACTGTTTTACTGTGTACTGGCTGTCATGTGAACCACCTTAATGTAAAAATACCTTGTAAAAATACTTTTTTTTTTTTTTTTTTTTTTAACAGATTTCACTGAAGTCAAAAATGACAATTACAAAGCTGTTTCTTTTCTTGTGTACTAAAAATATGTATTATGGAAAATTTTTGATGTATATGTGTTGAAACTACTGAATTCTTTTAAAGGTTGAAGCACTTGATGAAAATGAGACTATCAAGGATTTTCCTGTACTACAACCAGCTGTCGACTTGAAGTTAGATAATAAACTGCACACAAATCCCAGTGAACCATGGCTTACACCAATTTCAAAGAAAGTTTTGAGTCCATCATTTGTTTACGTTGATGAAGAAATTGTTAATACCAAAAGAAAAAAAGATGTAAAACTATATGATCAAAATTCTTATCATGAAAAAGAGAATGAAGCAAATTTAAAAAGAAAATTGAAATTTACTCCAGAACCAGTCAAGACTGGAGTAAAGGTATGTTATAAATTAATTTGTGTTTGAAAATTATTGACTTGAATTTTGCAATATAAAATTATTTCAGGTGAGAACTCCCCTTGGTTCCCGATGTAATTTTCAAGATTCTCCTTCCCAGTTTCTCAAAAAAATTCAAGTGCAGAAGGTTGATGAAGAAATGGGATATGTTGGTGAAAATGCATCCAGTAATTATGATAATTCAAAATCCATAAAGAAAGCACAACCAATGGTTGAATGGGATAATAAGGATTCAACTCTTATTATGTAGTGTATTTTATCTTATCCATAATAATTGATTTCTGTGTATTAACTTTGTGATGTATAAATTTATATGAAGTTGTACAGTGCCATTTGTTATTATTTTACGACTATAAATGTAAAACGTACTTATTAATAAATATATTACCACACATGTGTTTTGATTTATTTATTATTTAAATTATTATACAAACGTGCTTTCGAATTGTACTGAAATCTTAAAATCGTATTATAATGGAATGAATGGGTGTTTTAATAGCCAACCTTACCCACCAAAATGTTGCCAGGTTGAAAAGGATAAAATTGTGAACAATAATAATGAAAATTCCGACAATAACGTTAAATGATATGTAAAAAAACTTATTGGTTATTTAAAAATAAACCTGTTTACAGTAGTTCCGTAAATCACGAAAGCGGGTTGGCTGCCAGCGCTGCGGGTGGACATGTTTTTTTTTCTTTAATGGTTCCTGCTCTGTATCTACTACGGAAAGGTTGGAGCTTACATTCGTCTGGTCGTGGTGTTGGTTAAGTCGTTAGGCTGTGCTGTAGTGCCGTGTTCACGTCTGTTGTGAGAACACAGCTGGGAAATCAGATTTTTACGAATTCTTGGATGGATTTGTTATATTTGAACAACATTTTTGAAGATCAGACGAGTGATTTGAATATGAGTTACATGTGTGAAGAAACATCGCGAATGACTCGCCCAAGATTTCTCGAGAAGCAATTAGGTGTCGACGGCTTTGCATAAGTGTGGTGCGTCTGAATTATTTTTAGCTATACATGCATATCGTAGGTTATGTCGATAAGCAATAGTGTTGATGTGTTACCGATTTCTTTTGACTAGTTAATGATGAAAATTAAGAATGCAAATGCTCGTACAAATGACAAATTCATATTTTCGCGAATTACAATGTATTTATTTGCAACAGACTAGCTTTATCACTTTAAAATTTAAATGCGTAGGTATTATTTGACCCCTTTAATGGAACATTGATTGTGTCTGTAAACTTAGAACTGTAAAAAGATTGACATTTACGAGAAAATGAATATTTCTGCATTACACATAATTTGTTGTTGTTGCGGTGGTAGTCTCTTTGTTTTCAAATTTATATAGTATCTATATGTGAGGTTATTGGTCTACAAAATATTTTTAATTTCTCATTCGTCGTCGATGTAACACTAATCAATTTTGTGGTTATACTGTACATAATTCTTTGTTTCAGATCATGAACATCAATTCAACATGTCTATATCCAGGGATTCGTGAAGAAGGATAAATACTGAGCATGAATGTGATTGACACCATCGTAGAAGGTTGACATGAGTGGCTTCCCTGGAAGAGGTCGTTCCCGTCACTGGAACCATCATGGTGGGAACTCCAATCCACCATGGTCATATACAATATTTCCACCAAATCAAAATGCACATCCACATCCTCCCAATTCATGGCATGCGCCTCGATGGGACAAACGGCCGCAGTGGAGATTTCAAAATCCAAGCAACAATTACAGACCTCAAGGATATGGACGAAACCAGTTTGATTGGAAGCAAGATTTCAACCATCCCCCTCCATCGAGTTCATTTAATTCATTGTTAAATCAAAATCATAGCTCTAACTCTAGCCATGATCATAGTGATTCGAAAAGTGGAACAAAGCATAGTGACAGCAGGACTCGGAGGGATTTTGCTTTAGACATTTTTTCTGATGAAGATCTAAGTGATGTACATTGTGATGAAGACAGTGGTAAAGGAAAACATAAGTCACATTTTAGTCATAACCTTTGTGATTCTAAACATAAAGAAAGTGATTCTAGAAATAGGGACAGTGATTTTAAATATCAAGGATTTAGACTCAAGGAAAGTGAAGGATTTTGTAAGCGAATTGCTGAAAGTGGGCCAAAACTGCAATATAATAAGCATGGCAGTCATAGTGGAAGAGGTGAAAGCCATGTTACATCTACAGGGAAGTGTGATAGTCAGTACTCAACATCTAGCAAACGTCTATCTTTACTTCCTGCTCCTGTTAATCCAGTTAAAAAGATTGACTCCCTATCCTCTTCAAATCCACAGACAAAAACTGAATTACGAAATAGTAACAGTCATGGGAAGGGAAAAACAAAGACAAAGATAACAGCCCAAACAAAACTTTCTGTGAAAATCGTGCAGAAAGGAAAGCAACAAAAAGGTAAAGGTGTATCACCTAAGACTTCACAGAAAAATGTGCCAAAGGCGCCTCCTTCTCCAAATTTGGAAGAGGTGCGCCAGGTTGAAATCACAAAAGCTGCTGAGAAACTTAAACGTTATTTGCAAGAAAAACATGAAGGTCAAGAAAAAGTGTTAGAAAATCTTTTGAATAAAACAGAAGGACAAAAATCGGAATTGAAAGCCCCGGGACCTCCAGTAGATAAGAGTAGGTTTGATCCAGAATTGCATTTAACACCAACAGACTTACAAGATATAGGAAAGATTAAAACAGATGTGCGAAGCAGTTCTCTGTGTCAGACCCATTTGTCTAGTCAGGAGGATATATCCACTCCTCTTTCTGGTACTGCAGAAAACCCTCGCCAAAGTGAAAGTAATAACTTTGCAGCTAGTACACCTAAGCGTGTTACACCAGTTTCATCATCAAAGTTTGTTGATAGCTCATCGGATATCATTGTTCTTCATTCACCAGAGCAGACTGTTCAAAATTCTGAACCCTCTATTCTAACTGAACTTCATGAATTATCTGTGATTACACCCAGTGCAGGTTCTATAAATACAACATCTGTTTATGTTTCTGACAGTTCGACCAAACAAGTGGAAAGTAAGGCATCAAAGAGTTCTGTTAAAGAGACAAAATCTGATAGGACAATTCATCTGTCTAAAAATGGTTCTAATGCTTCTAATAGTGTTTCTTCTCATCAGGAGACTAAAAGTCCTGTTCGACAGATAGTAAAGAGCACTGTACAGACTGAATCGAAGAGTGCTTCTAATCAAGATTCAAAAAGTCCTGCCCATCGTCGAGAATCAAAAAGTCCTGCTCATCGCCATGAATCAAAGAGTCCTGCTCATCGACGGGAATCTGCAAGTCCTGCCCCCCTTCAAGAATCAAAGACCCCATCTCATCGTAGTGAATCGAAAAGTCCAGCTCATAGAAGTGAATCGAAGAGCCCAGCTCATAGAAGTGAATCGAAGAGCCCTGCTCATCGTAGAGAATCAAAAAGTCCAGCTCCCATTCCTAACTCGAAGAGCCCTGCTCACCGGCGTGCGTCAAAGAGCCCTGCTCAAAGCTCCACATGTAAAAGCCCTGCCATTGGTGAATTGAAGAACACTTCAGACCAAGAATCAAAAAGTCCCTCTCGTCATGGATCTAAAAGCCCTGCTTGTCGTGTTGTAAAGAGTTCGCAATCTGCGAATGTGAGTCCTCTTCGACATCAGTCCAAAAGCCCTGTTCGACAAGACTCTAAGAATTCTGCGCAGTGCTCGTCCAAAAGCCTGTCTCAATCCGCATTGAAAAACCCATCTGTGAGTTCATCCAAAAGTTCTAATAACAGTGTACCTAAAAGTGTTGCAGTTAATGCACCTAAAAGTAGTGTTCCAAATACATCCAAAACATCTAGTTCAAATCGAACAAAGACACCAGTTTCTAATGTGTTGAAAAGTTCTAGTAGTAATACATCGAAGAATGATTCAACTGTTTCTAAGGTATCGAGTGTATTGGATAGTTCTGGTTCAAGTGTGTCTAAGAATGATGGGAAGACTGCAGATTCTAAGATTTCCAGTAAGAGTGGTGCATCTGGGGTACATAAAAGTTCAACTCAAAGTGCTTCCAAAAATTCTGGTGTAAGTGTATCAAAGAGTTCCTCAAGTTCAGCAAAAAATTCTTCAGGTGCATCTAAAACTTCAACTTCAGACATAACCAAGAGTTCTCAAGGTGCTTCAAAAAGTGCAACTCAGAGTACACCAAAAAGTTTGCAAAATGCATCAAAGGATCCTGCTAACACAACTAAACATTCTGCAAGTTTAACTAAGTGTTCATCAAAGACTACACAAAATGATTTGAGGAGTTCCTCGGATATTGTATCAAAGAATGCTGATCATCATATATCTAATGTTCCATCTGTAAATGTTAGTAAAAGCTCATCTGCAAGTTCATCTAAAGATGTGGTTAGTGAATCATCAAAAAATTCCCCTCAGTGTGTTTCCAAGACATCTAATGTTAAAATAGTTGATGGCTCGTTATCTAATACAGTTGAAGACTCCACGGCATGTTCCTCGCGTACTACTTCCATAAATTTTAGTAGTCCTCATACTGCATCTGACAGTGCTCCAACCGATATACTAGTGAAGGATGATAAAAACATTACAGATCTGGTATGTAGTAAGAATGAAGGTAATGATCAGAAAAGTGAAGAAAGATTAAACAGAAATGATCAGTCGTCTGGTAGCAATACAAATAGCATTAAAGTAAGCATTGAGAAAGATCGTTTAGGAAAAGGAAGTAACTTTACAACTTCAGCAAAAGAACAAGGCAATGAAAAGTATGTGGCTGACAAAGATGAATGTGGTGGACTTGAAATAATCAATTCAAAAAATGATATTGAAGAAAATATAAGAATATCTCAACAAACAATTATGCAATCTGTATGCATTGCTCAGAGTTCTACGACAGAATTACAGACGAGTTTGACTGCAGATGCCTCCCTTACATGTGACTCTGTTCGTTCTCCTTTGCCATTCCTGACTTCCCACTCAGAGTGTGCACCATGCTTATCAATTGACAAAGTCAGTGACGGATTGACTTCAAGGCCCTTGTTTGTTCCCAACCTAGTCCCTTCACGTTCACGGCATTTATCTGAGACAGTAACTCCAAATAACAGCAATAAACATGGATTAGATGTCGGTGATAAGTCAGTGGAGAGTCCATCAAAACGTGCAAAAAGATCACGATCTGCATCCGTTAATGCTGATGGTCAAGAAAGTGGGAGCCGGAGGAAAAGCTTCAGTGGTAGTGGTGCTCCCAACAATACTCCTGGAAAATCATTTGGCGAAATTATTAATCATCAGCTGAAAAACATCAACTTAAAAGACATGGTGAATAAACCCCACTTTAATCGGAAAGCAGAACTTGTAATGCAGCATCTCATGAAAGAACATAATCAATCAATCAATCGCCAGCTTCGCATGCTTGCTGAAGCACGTATGCTGAACAAACAAGCACCATCAGCAGTTGATGATTCATGTGCTTCTCTGAATCTACAGGACCCTCTGGAAATTGATCCTGACTTAGCTGTAGATCTTGCTGCTCTGCCTGCCGAGTTTATTGAAAATTTACAGAATCTTCTTGATTTAGATGTTGGGGGGCAAGATTGCAATGCAGGCACATCTGCTGGTGATATTAGTGGTACATCTGTTATCGATTCAGCCTTGCAGAATGGTGATGTGAGTGATATGTTTAGTTCTTCCATCTTAGGCGAAATTGTAGAACCTGAATCTTTACTCATTATGGATCAAGTACAGAAATGCATGGATCAAAGTGGCCAATCTGATTTGGATGATCTGTCAGCTAGTAAAATAAATGAAATGAACTTGCAAGGAAACTTGGAATATGTTGAAAGAAAAATTGAATCTCTGAAACAAGAAATAAAAAGTTTTGAAGAATCGGATGCAGGAATTCGAAATGGAGATAAATTGAGTACCCAAATAGATGTGAAAGAAGAAATGTTCATGTCGGATATTCCTGAACACATGGAATTCATTGGTGATACAGAAAATGAGGGAGAAACTCAAGATACAAAGGATTTAATAAAAGAGTTAACTGAGGGTGAGAAAGATGGCTCAATGTTTCTTTCAACAAATGCTTGCGAGTCTCTGGCAAGAGGGAATTGTCTAGAAAGTGCTACTGACACATTAGCTGCTGCTGCTACAAACATTTCTGAGTCTGCAACGAATAACGCAAATGATGGAATGCCATGTGATGTTAATGCTGCTGAAGAGTTAATGGAAAATAATTATCTTGGAACTCGTCCTGATATTCCTGATGATGCTGCGGCAGATATCTGTGATGATATGCTTGCTTCAAGTATTGCGGATAGCAGCAATTTCCCTGATCAAACTGCAGCATGTAATATAGATGAAGATTTTGCAGTTTATGACATTAATGGTGACATAGTGACAGAAGAAGAAGTTGCAGGGTATGTGGTTGAAAATGGTGTTTTGGACGGACAAACTCCAGACATGTACGATGTGGATAGCCTCACACCAGGGGATCAAGGGACTCCCTACAACGCAGATGACAGCATGCCTTCCTTGGAAGCCTCAGGAGTGTATGTGGGGGAGGGACAATTAGAAGGGTACAGTGTTGACAGTAGTGTTGTAGCCCCTACCTTGGATAAAGCAATATGTGATGGAGATGAAATGGATGTTCAAGAATCAACAACAGTGTTTGAAGTGAAAAGTGATGTATTCAATCCCACAGTGCCAAGTGCTGGTACAAATGCAAAAGGGAAAGAGAATATCGTACCCTTTCCTGATGAAAGTGTTCCAGTTCATGAATCAGTGTCTGCATATAACGTGGATTTACAAAAGCAACCCATGTCTTTCAGTGGTAGTGTTAGTTCATTTACACAGTCCCCCACATTTGAAATAAACAAACAGCTTGCTTCGAAACAAAATGACAGTTTTAGTGCATTGGTGACAAATGAACAAAATAAATTACCTTTGGTGGCTGAATCGGCTGTAGTAGAAGAACATGCAAATGCAGATGCTAACAGTGCAGTAAGGGTGAAGACAGAAAGTAAAAGGGAAGAAACAGGTACGTGCCTTGATATATATCCTAAAATTATTATTATCATAGTTAATAGAAAAAGGTGTAATGTTTTCCTCATCAGATGCATTTCATAGTTAATTGGCATGTATAGTGGAAATGTATACACAATACAAATCTTTTCTACTTAATTAATATTGTAAAAAAATTGTCTTGGCCACAAGTCTCCTGGGGAAAACTTGAATATCACATAAAAGTAGGATCACATAAAGGACAGGAAAAAATTAATATAAAACTTCAGGAAATGTGAAAATTAACTTAACTTCAGTCAGTAATGAAAAATAATGAAAATTTGAATTTTGATACCCATGTAGTATAAGTAATGACAAGGTGATCAATAATTTAGTTGCTTATCCAAAAGTATAAATGTTGTTGAAAACCATTATTGGAGCTATTTATTAGGAGCAAATAGGTGATTCGTGTAAAAGTATGTTTATAAAGTAGGTTACATAGATTCTGCCAACTGTGTGTAATGGTTTCAAATAATATAATAATTTATGGTTTTAACAATACTTTATAGAATGTAATTCTAAATTAATACATGCTTGATTTGTTCATTTCAAAAATCATGCTTAATCCTCTCTGTATAATTTATATTCTACAGAAGTGCTAATTATTAAGAATTGCCTGTAATTATTATGATTTCTATCTTACAATTAGGTAATCAATGTTCCAGAAGGAAGTATAGTAAGGTTTGAAATCAAATTTTTATACTGATAACATATTCTAGTACTGAAATTCTCCACAATTAATGAAGACACAACTAACATGTCACTGAGAAAGTGCTAAAAATTCAGGGATATTACAGAATAACCGTTTTGAGGATATCATTAGGCATCTTAATCTTATACGTTCCAGAAATTTTATTCATGTACATTTATGTAGGATCGTCAGTTATAGTCAGGATAGTCAGTTTGCCATGAGATTGTCTTAGGTTCAGGTACAACTGCTCTTGTCACTCATGAAACATTTTTTGTGTAAAAGGTTAGTGTTAATATTAACAGTATTGCTGGGAGTAAACATTTTTTTTAAATTAAAACATTGTATGGTACAAATGCAATGTTTATTTCCTTACTGACATAATGTAAATTTTGTAAAGTATAAGCTGATATTTTGAGTAAACATCTAATGTTATAAATTACTGTTCCACTTCATAATGTAAATAAATATCTGATTGACTCGTGAACAAATCAATTTGTAATTTGCGTAAATTATTGATGGTCTATTTGACTACTGAAATTGATGGTTTTCAAATTCTTGTCTTGGTCTTGCCTATGGGTTTGCATAATTGATTTACTTCTTAGTACATTGGGAACAGTGGGCCTGCCTATTTTATTCTTAAAATTGCAGAGTGAAGAGTATTTTCAATTATGATGTCTGTCATGGAATGCTGATCTGGAGTATGTTATTTATGTGTTCATGGAAAGAAACAATTAGGGGATGAAGACTTTTAATAAATTTCTAGACTTTATAATATCAATTGGCTTTCAATATAAATGTGTCCAAGTGCCTATGTTGATTGTTTAATTTATTTAATTATTTTGTTATATTTAAATATATTGCAGACACAGAGTAACAAAGTTCGATCTAACCATTACAGGAGAGCATTTTGAAAGTTTGGAGGAGTATAATAGAGATACATTCAAATGGAAATGGAAGTATGTCACAGATTTTCTACCAGTCTTGATTTGAAAACTATTTTAATATATTGTGTGTTTCATGATAGAGAGGTCAAATATGTCAAAGCAGCATTTTTGCCAAAAGTGTCGGATAAAACCTTGTTGTTTCAGGGTCATGATGCTATTGTATTTAAATAACACACTCAAGATCAGATTGTATTTAAATAACATACAAAAGACATGTATTGTATTTTGATTACATCAGTAAGTTTAAACTAGAATAAATATCAGGAATTCATATACAACTAAAAATGTCACTGAGAATGTATATTCAAGATTGGCCCTTTTTTGTAATATTGCTAGTATTTAGGAGATCTGATTACGTAGATTTTAGAAAATTGTTAGTTTTTATATAATAATAATAATAATAATAATAATAATAATAATAATAATAATAATAATAATAATAATAATACTTTTGTTATTGATATGTCAAAAATATTTATTTATTAATCAATTAAGACTTTTCTGCTCTATATACTACTTTTTATATGATTTAACACCCATTGTAATGGGATTTCCATTACAAAAACAAGAAAAGAAGGCCTGAAATCTTTAGAAATCATGTGTGTTGTGGCAAAATGTGTTTTAAATTTATTCATACATCATTCACATAGCAACATTACATTTTCGTTCACAGTAATATGTAGAGGTTTGGTTAAATTTTTTACAGAACCTTCCAACCTCATTCTGATAATCAGTAAAAAGAACAGTGACATTTAAAAAAATGTTGAAAACCTGTAAAAGAAAATATATTTTCTTTCAATGTTCTTTAAAATTATTTCAGAGAAAATAACAAAACTTATAATTTTATAAACAGATATATTAATTGAAAATTCAAATTTTATGACAACAAACTCAGATACCAAAGAAGTACGAAAAAGAACTCGAATGAAAAATAAACTGACAATAGAATACAATCTTCATTTGCTACAATTCCAATTTCATCAAAATAAATACACCCAATATGAAGACAACCTAAGAACAAAATGCATTTACATAAAATTTGAATTGTTTTGCATCTGTGCTCATGTTACACATTTGTTACTTTATTACCCAAAGAAATGAAAAATAAGTTACCAAAAATGTTTGCGTTTAAAATGTTAACAAAGGGGAACAGTTTTTGAATGCACCAATAAATAATTCTTATCTACTCAAACTGATGGAAGTATGATTATAAATATTGAAGTTTGTTTCACTTAAATCTTAAAATTTTCTAAAGTTGAACAAGTTTTTGTTTGAGAACAGCTTCCTCTACCTTTATTACTGAAGCTGAGGCTCTATTCTTAACGTAATCTATTTGTCAGTATTAGGATCCTCAAAGATTATTTTATATTTGTTGTTTTCATGTAATTTATAATAGAATTGTATCATTTTGTCCAACAATTCGGTAACAAGATTTTCTCAAAGACAGCTCTAGATTTCTTCTTTAAAGATTTTGTACTGATAAACAACAATATATTGAATCATAAGGGACAAGTTCTATTTTCATTAAAATATTGGAATTTTCAAAAATTTCAGAAAAGTATACATGACCTTTTCTTTTTGGAGTAAAGAAAAACTTTTCAAAGAAATAACAACACATTTTTCTAATAAAGGAAAGTTAAAAGTACAGATTCAGAAAGAATTGTATTACCACCAACTTTGAGATATGAAATTGCATTTGAAGTTTAATAAAATAATTTCAAATATACTTAAGTTTTTCCATTCCATAATAAATTTTTTTACCATGTACTGCCATTGCCAAATTGAAGGACTTAATGTATGTATATTTGAGATTATCTTTTTAATTTTAAGTTAATTTTTCAATTCAGAAGTAGGTTTTTCATTCTTTAATTGGATATTTTTAGTGTAGCTTTTTAACGTACTTGCCGCAGGCCTCCAAGTAGAAGCAAGCACCTGGTGAATGCATCAACTATGCCAACTACAGAATTAAATAAACTTTGAAGGTCCAGACTATTAAACACCTGAGGCCTAAACATATATTTTCAAGCATATAGGTGTTCAAATAATGATTGCCATTATTAATTGCCATTTGCTCGTACCCATACGCTTCTTGACTGCGGCCATGAGAATCATCAAAACCCTAACAATTCGTCAGTTCTTGAGAAGATCCTCACATTCATTGCAAATTACCTTAATACCCAGAGACGAGGAATGAGAGAAGTACATCAGCAGTTAAAGATGAACTTAAATGGATTAACCCATAAACATGATATTGCTGGTTAACAAGCTACACTAAATATATAGAGAAATTGTTCTACGAAGGGACCATTTTGTCAAGACAGAAGACAAATGTCATTTGTTTGATGGCTGTGCAGGTTGTTGTGTTCAATCCTTTGCAAGTGAGTCCTCTTTATACGAATGCACTGATGATTCGAACGCAGGTCATAATCTGCAATTATATTGTCAGCAGTGGTTGTCAAAGAAGTGCCTTCTTAGAGTATATTTGTATTTGCCTCTATATGTGTTTGCTAACTAATAATTTGTCTAATCACTACAGGCCAATTCAGGGAATTCATATTTGGTGTGCATACAAGATTATTTAAGGGGAGGATTTGAAATTTTATATCAAAAATCACAAAAGTTTCCAATTTGAAGTGCAAAAGATCACTAAACATATGCAGATGTTCTACTTCTGTTTTGTGTTGGAGGAGAGAATGTTCACAAAGTTCTGTTTTAAAGTGTTTAAATCTTCTTTCTTCCTTGGGTCCACTCTCTTGTTAGATATATGGATCTTAGGGTTATTGTTATCAGTCATCCCATTTAATTTATTTGAGTAAATTCTAAATCAATGTAATTCATTTTATTTTATTTCTTTTTTTTGAAAAACCTTTCTAAACCCTTAGAAGCTCTGCCATTATTTTTTTAATGTCCAGAATTATAGAGGGAAATAAGATTGCTTTACATCTGAGTTTGAAAAGTGAAATGGGAACGCAAACTTAATGTTTTGGGAGTGCTACTAATATAGTATGCCTCTACAATTTCCTTTCCTTTTTCTGTTCAATTGAGCTGTCAAGTAATAAATGGATTTTTACAATTTTTTGCTCAGGATTTTTAAAATATGTGGTTACCTTGGAAACCACTTATAACTATCTATGAAATTCAAGACTTCAAATGAAATTATTTCCTTTTAACCTAAAGAAGCCAACTGAAAGCCCAACCAAATCTAGGGCATTCTGGGCAACTTAACATTGGACACTTTTAAGAGCTATGCTGAACAGACATGAGAAGTTATAACTTAATTGTTTAGTTAAAGCATATGTGGCTTGCTCAAATAAAATTGAGTATATATATTTTTTTCTGTGATATTTTGTAGTTAGTCCGCCAGGATTTTTCTTGGGGAAAGAAGGGGGGGGGAGAATGTAGCATCAAACCAAAAATCCAGCGGTTTTTTTCTTATGAAGAAAATTTTTTTATTTAAAAATTGTTAATTTAATATTTATTTTTAGGTGTTGATTTATACTTTTTACTATGTGTTCAATTGAGATATTAAATGACTTACGTTTAAAAAAACATATTTATAAATGTCTTTCTGGAAATGGCTTGGAGGTGATTGTACTTAGGGTTGTCAACTATGTTCTTGTAAAATGGAGGACACACGACAAAGAAAAAATCACATCAACACGTTTCTTTTTATAAGTATTTAATTTAGAATAACATCAGCTCTATTTTGTTCTATTCTTTATTTGCGGTTCAAGTGAAAAGATTCGTTCACAAAATGCTGATGATCTGAACAAGTGTTTTTGTTTTAATTTTAGTCGCTAGACAGAAACACTATCATGCAAGCGTATGACAGCGATCAAAAAATGATACTGATGTTTTCTATTCTAAATTAAACAATAAACGATACAACGGAGCAGATGTTAGTCATGTGATAAAATAAATGACAACAAAACAAATGTTAAAAATTTAGTAAAAGGAGGGCATTTAAAATATAAAGGAGAACGAGAGGACTATTGACGTAAATGGAGGTTTGTTTTTCCAAATGGAGCACGGTTAGCAGCCCTATACGTACCGCCTCCGCCTCCCTTTGGTGTGGCATTTTAGATACACTGGCACTATCAAGCAAGTGCCCAATCGCGTCACACGGTTATGGAGACTCCCGCAAAAGAACTTCCGTTACCGGAAACGCCACGGCGGATTATGGCACACGTGCAACGACGCGTATTGTCCATGGTCGATTCAAGTTAGTTAAGGGACTACAGTATGATGTTACATTAACAGTTTTCTTTGCGGCCAGCCAAACAAAGAGCAAAGGAATATTTGCGTCAAATTAAAATCCTAGGCCTACTCTTAATAGTAGTATTACCACCAATGAAGTAAAGGTTATACATTTAGTTAAATATTACTTCACACAACTACAATTACAGATAAAATCTATACATGGGTTACAACTACAATAAAACATTGTTCCAAAAATATAAATAATTTAGTTTATTAATTAGTGATTCGGGTCGACCTTAAATTTCGTAACGCTAATTAGGAGGGAGGTGATTTGAGGCAGCCGTACGATGCGTCATATAGGAATTGGGGAGTATTTATTATTATTATTTTATAATTTTATTCTAAAATAATAGCAAAGAGATTATTGATTTAAAAAATTTTTCAACGTTTGCTGAAATAATTATTTAGTTGTACACAAGAGCATTAAATATTAATACATTTTTAAAATAAATAAATTAAAAAGTTATAAGTTGCCACTATAAATTGAAATACTTATGATCAAAAGTATATTGGTGGAATGTTTGATTGCAAAGAAAATATTCAAAGCTGATCAAGTACATTCTAAAATCCAATTAAATTGGAGAAGAAGTCTGGAGCATGCCTCATCCACGACGGCGTGTGCACGACCTGCCTGAAATTTTCTCGCATATGTCTCCTCTACTTCGGGCTCAAAATTGTTTTTAATCTTATTGTTAGGTGCAGTTAGCATCTCCATCTAATTCTAAATGACTTAAATTTTAATTTACACCATTTATAATGCGAAATGCGGTTTTGCAGAAGAAATGTCGCGGCGATGGTGAAAGCGGCGGCGATGGTGTAACGGTTAGCGTACCGGACTGTTGTGCCCAAGTTCAAACCCGATCGAAGCCGTGGATTTTTAAGGGCGAAAAAATCCTTCGTATGCCTTCCTTCGGAGGGGAAGTAAAACCGGCTGTCCCATGTTAGTAGATTTACTTGCATGTAAAAGATCCTCAAGCCTAAATGACGCCTCTGAGCTAAATTCAAATCGCCTGTTTTTCGCCCAAGAAATACCGCCGTTCTCTGCTAGTTGATGAACGGAGTGTATCGAAATCTACGTGGTCAGACGGAAGAGCGGGCCTGATGGCCCGAGTCTCGACACGTAAAATAAGGCAAATTCAATTCAATTCAAAAATGTCGAATGATGACAGAAGTGTATGACCCGAGTGTATAATGAGTGAAAAAATAGCTAGTTAAGATGTTTTGTGTTAATTGCACTTCTGGTCATTATACTTACTTGATATTCCTATGATAATAAAAAAGTATGTCATTCAATAATTTGTCGGAAAAGAGAAGAACTCTGCTGCTTTCCACAACGAGTTATAATTAAAATATTGGTTCTAATTAAATAGGGAAGAGGTAAAGGGGTAATATTTCTCCCTGTGTTTCTCTGTTTTACATTTGATACATTGTGTTTCAGAAGGAAGTTACCAGTGGCGCAACGAACCAGTGGGCGTGCAAATCGATTCCGGTGAAGGTTGCAGTGATTCAAGGCGTGAGGAAATTACGCCTACCCTGTCGAGCCCACAGGCGGCTGGCGTGGACTCCGCTCGGAATGCAGAAACGTCTTGCGTTCAAACGAACGGAGAATTGCTCTACGACATCGGAAGCAGCTCACGGAGCTCTCTTGTGGGACTCGAGAGGGCCCCTCCGGACCCACCACAGGCACCGGAGAAGGAACTGGATCTAGAAAAGACCCAAGAAAGTAGTTTCTCACAGCAAGACAGCGGATTCGTGCAGCCCAGCCCGCAGGACAGTAGTTATCAACAAGAAAGTCCTAAGCATGCGTTTGTCACTCAAAGCTCGCAAGACAGCAGGTTCGTCGGGCAAGCCCTTCAAGATCGATTCGTGGGACAGAGCCCTCAAGAGACGAGATGTGTCGGACAGAGCCCTCAAGATACAAGATTCGTGGGAAAGAGCCCTCAGGATAATAGATTCGTCGCACAGAACTCGCAAGACAATAGAATCGTCGGACAGGCGATTCAAGATTCGAATGTCGTCGGGCACAGTCCCCGAGATAGATACCAGGGGACACTACCAGAGGGTCACGGCCTAGACAGCCCCCGGCAAACTATGCAGCTGACTCCCCACAACGCGATACAAACGCTCATCAGCCCCTCATCCACCCCCGTCCCTTCGCCCGCCCCTGCTCCATTCAGTTTCCTACCCCCGTTCTCTAGTTTCCGCATCCAGGAAGCGGCCGGTCGCTGGACGCTTGCGACCCAGACGCAATGTCGCCGCCACCGCCACCCCCGGCGCCTCCCCGTGCCGCCCGCCACCGCCTCCGCTGCCACAGACCCAGGAGCGACGCGGGCCCAACCCAGCCGCTGCAGGCCATCCTGCGGCTGTGCTGCCAGCGAGTAATCGTCACTCTGGAAACCGGAAGGCGCCGGGCTGCCGCTGCGACGCTTGGAACGGCGTGTTGCGAAGAACGAGGCGAGGTGACCACGTGTTTTCGCCTTGCCCGTCGCTCTCGCCGTCCGGGCGTCGCGTCTCCGCGCCCTCGCCGCGGGCCCGCGCGCGCGAGCTAGCGGGAGGCCGCGGAGCGCCGTCCGGCGGCCCGCACGCACGCTCGCTCGCGCCGGTCGTCGGCCTGCCGGACGACGCGGGTCGGGCCCCCGGCGCGCGGCCGCGACTGGCCCAGCGAGCCACAGCGTGTATCGCCCGGCGGCGCGCGCAACAAGCTCCGGCAGCGAGTGTCCGCGGCGACGGCCCCGAGCCTGGCGCGCGACCGCTCCTGGGACCCGGGGAGCGGTCCGCGGCCCCTGCGTCGGCAGCGGCCCCCGCGCCGCGCGCCCGCACTCGCACTGCCGTCGCCCCGACGCGGACCGGACTCCGCCCGACGAGGCGGCGTCCGCGCCGCATTCCCGGCGACGACCTCGCGACTGCGTCGGCCAACTTCCCCCGACGCCAGCGCAGACGTTTAGAGACGATGCTGCGCGTGTACCAAGGAAGAGTGCAGTGGCTGCTGGCCTACAAGATGAAGCTGTACAAGCGGCGGGGTGTGCCCGAAGGGCGCGGTGCCGGGCGGGCGGCGGGGCCAGCGGAGGATGGAGCAACGCAGCCGGCGCGACGCGCATAGGGAGCAGCTGCTCGCGGCCCGGCGAAGGGGGAGCCGCGGGGGCTGGACGACGCCGGGCGGCGTGCTGTGCGACCGGGGCCTATGCAGGCATGGCGCGGCGGCCGCGACGGCGTGGCCGCGCCCGGTCGAGCACCGGGCTCCCCGCCGGGCCCGTACGGCGGCCGAGGCGCCGCCCGCGCGCCCGCGCCGCCCTCCGACCCCGTCTGCCCCAGCCCGCAGACCACCACCCTCACGCCCGCCAGGGAGTCCTTCTCGGGTGAGTGGATCGCAACAGGTCGTCGGGGAAATAAACGTGTTTTGTTTTTAATAATCAAACAGACTTTGTTTTCCGAACCTTGTAAACTATTTTTTTCTTCCTTTCCTTGAGGCTTGAATATTCGAGATAAGTCAAATTTATATTACCCTTCGAATTGAAACGTTTCCCATAATTTTTCTTATAGTGCCCTCCCGCTGTGCTGCAAAGACGTTTCCAATTGCTTTCGCGTGTGACACTTAACACGTGTAACACGTGTTGAATGGCCCGTGGCGTCCAGGCGTTCAAACCTTGCGCCCCGCCAGCGTCACTTCATCCCTTCTCGTTAGCGGCCGCTATTAACGTATTCAGAGATCATCAGCGCTAGACAAGATAATTTCCCCTCTCAAGTACTGTCATTTGATGTGATGCAACCTCCCTCAGACTCCTCCATTAGAACCCGCTGATTATAAAACTAAATAACCTCTTTGGCTCTTAGAGAACGGAAAACCGTATCCTGGTATGTCAGCTGAGTTTCGAAACGCAAGCCTCTTATTTATAAGTTACCTTAATCTCCCTAAATCGCCGTCACATTATTCTTAGAATACAGCACCATCATTATTTGGCTATATAGATTTAAATTTTTAACTAGCTTTTTAATTCTTTAAAAACGTGTCTGTATATATCGTGATTCAAATCGCTTGTTTCCGAAATGCATTAGCTCGTAGTAAAATTCAATGTAAGAAGGCTGCCGTGCAACTTCTCGTTTGTTTTAGTACGCTTCCCTAAGACTCAGGAACGAAAAAGTAAAGTCGCAATAATTTTATTTCTTTTAGATTTTCTGAGTATATAAAAAAATGTCTAAAAATGTACTCTTTCATTTGTCAAACGTAATGGTTATTGGAATAAATTAACGATACGTTTTTGGCGCGTATTGAATTCACTGACAAGGAATCTTGTTTCACGCAGAAATCAAACTGTAATTCCACGGTTTGCATTAGTTTGATCAATCTGTATCTGGGACTTCAATTAAAATGCAGCAAAAAATTCATATTTTTTCAAAATTTGATCATTCAGTTTTTATCCGAGTTCTGAAAGTCAAAATTAAATTCGCTGAACTGGATCTCGATTAAAAACGTTCGAGAATCAAAAATATAGATTGTGCCTAAAAAGAGCGTCGTTTTGTGATATTTGAATGTTCGATGGTCTCAAAAATAATGTCTATTAAATAAAATTTCCGTTTGTGTCAAATTTACAGAGGGAGGGAGAAGCGAAAATATTTAGATTTGCATAGTCCCTGAACGAGAAAAAAATGTTTTGTCTCTGTTAAAATGAGAAGGTATTATTTCAATAAAAAGTTTTTGTCCCCATATTTCATTTTGTAGATCTGTCAGTGCAATGCAAACGACACAGACTTGTCATGTCTTAAAATCATATTTAATTGCCTGGGAGCGTGAGTTATTAAAGTCGGTTGCGGTGACTCCCGGTAGCTTCCCTCTCTGTAGTTCCTAGTTTGTCGATTCGATTCGCAGCTGAAAGCAATGAACTTTTCGGATGCTAAATTATTGAGGGCACGCATTCTGTTTTATTGTACGGCTTGCAAAAGAGCCATTGGGGGCCTTTTCGATAACCTCGGCACAATATGCACGCGAAGTTCGGGCGTGCGTGCTGCTGTTTAATAGTATCGTTAAAATTGAGTCACTACAAGTACCGGCAGCATATAAAGCGACTCTGACAGTTCTCTCGGCAGGTGCTGAGGTACGTCATGCGACCTGCTTTTAAGCAATCAGCTTGCGAGGATTTGTTTACTTTCTCACACCCAGGGTTCAGCGTTGCCGCTCATCTTTCTCGCACGAAGTCGCGGAGTTTCGGCTTAGGCGAAAGTTCTGAACATGATATCATAACGTGTAATAGCCTGTGTTAAAGTTTTGGTTTTTCGTTTATTTGTGATGTAGGTTGTGTCGTATGCGTAGTAATGTGTAACAACAGCACTTTGAACTGTCAGAGTCGCTTATACGCTGCCGGTACTGTATGTAGCCTTTCCCTTTGCGGGGGTGTCAAAGTTCTACTTCTACTGAAGAGGTTGCGGAGGCTGTGTTGTAATGTTAGTAATAATACTTATAACTTTACTCCCTGCCAATACTATAACTTATTATTAAACTTGTATTGATATTGAAGGAACGCGAGAGTGCGATGTGGGAAGTGACGGGTGGCTTTGCGCAGGGTCGCCGTCGTCGGTGTCGCCGCGGGCCGGCGGCTTCCGCACGCCGGGCGAGGTGTCTGTGGAGGCCGAGGGCGCGGCGCCGCCCATGCGCCCGCCCGCGCCCGGCACCGCCCTCGCGCCGGGCCTGGGCCTCCGCAGCGACCTGGAGCCCGGCGCCTCGCCCGCGGGCCACGCCTCCAAGAGCC